TAAACATAAACTAGCGCATACAAACAGAAATCCTATATTTTCACAAGTTCGAATTTAATTACATTAATCAACAGTTATAAGCGTAACAGATTACGTTTAAAATACAAAAATAATTAATTTAAAATAAATGAAATATTTAGTTGTAAGTTTGAAGAATTATAACATAAATACATACATATGCATATGTGTATGTCTGTCTGTAACTAAGTATATATGTATGTAGTTTTCAGCAAAATGTTGATTAGCAAAAACGTATTCAATACAAGGCGCAAAAAAATAAAAATAAAATTATTGTAATCATATATAGTTGTACAACAACTGCTATTCCCAAGTCCCTTCCAAGCCAGCGCTTTTGGTAGAAGTAGAGGCGCTTGAGATTGCTACAAAGTGAATTGATTAATTTTATAACGGCATATATTGCATTAAACGATTTAAATGAAACGGTAAAGTTATGCACAGAAATTGTTTAAGTGAAAAAAATCTCAAAAGCGTAAAAAAAAGTAGTAAAATTTTAGAAAATAAAGATATGAGCTGAAAGAGAAAGTAAAAAGTGGGAGAAAAAAATTAATTTATTTAATTAAAATTTAAAATTTTGGAAGAAGTAAAAAATTAAGAAAAAGCAAAAATTAAAAAAATTGCAAAAATTAAAATTAAAAAAATCTACAATTATTGTTTCGAAAAAGGTACAAGATTAAATAATAATTTCCTTTGCAATAAAATGAAGGCAAATCACTGTACTGCGCATCAAATAAATAATGTTAACTCTACTGCGCACGCGTACCGCTCTGCTTATATAACGTAGTTGTATGTAGCGTTTAAATACACTCGCGCTAATATGAAAGCATACTTATGTAGATCTAAAATTATGTAAGCACCACAAATTAAAGCTATATCTGTATGTATGTAAATATTAAAACTACAAGAAATGTAAGTTTTTATGTATGTGTGTGTAAGCCCTTTATTATTTTTAATCCTTTTCGTCAAATTTTACTGCATTGTTAAGCAAAAAACCATGGAATAGCAATGAAGTTACACAAAAAATAAATAAAATAAAACTTATATGAATTAATAATTTATTTAGAATGTTTGCAAACTATAGCGAGAAACAAGGAAACAGTTTTAGAGATTAATGTAAAAAACAACAAAATAATAAAATGAAACTTTTATTGCAAAACCTACCACTTTAATTATGTTTGTTTCATTTAATTTGTGTGCGCATATGCTACTAGTAAAAATATGCTATTTGTAGTCTATCCACAAGGGTTTCCTTGCCAATGCCTTAATCAGTTACTGAACATTGTTATAAATATATATATATATATATATATATATATTTTTTTTTTTTTGAAAATAACTTTTTTTTTTTATTAATTTTAGATTAAAACCAGCTTATTATTGCTCAACAAAAATGAAAATAAATCTGAAACGTTTTGTTACTTCGCTTCAAAGAGGATTTGCTGTACAAAATTTATAAAATTGAAGCCTATCCGATCTTCTGAAATGAAGGCAAATAACTTACACAACTGAAGAGTACAATATCGAAAGTTTTAATACTGTTAGTCGAGGGCTTGTAGTACATAGAACAATTGAAATGTTCTTGGTTTTTTTTGGCAAACGAATTATTTTATTAAAATATGTAGAAAAAACAGCAGCGAATACAAGTTGTTGCGAGAGTATATTTTTAAGGACCACACTAGGCTGTCTTGTGATGATAAAAAGGTGATTTTTAGCCATTACAAAAAAAAAAAAAAAAAAAAACTTTTGTATCTATTGTTTTAAAAATTTAAGAGTATTTGTAAACTTATTTTAAAATTAAAGAGTACTTGAAAAAAAATTTAATATTTTTCGAGTTACACGCGATCTCTAACGGCGCTAAAAAAGGTTCATACAGAGACCATCGGTTGAAAACGATTCCAAAATTAAAGTTTAATCTTAACCAAAAGATTGGTTGGTTTTGGTCTGCCGAAATTCGATTTTTGATTAGAACAAAAAACTGTTGGGTATGGAGAATTTATGTATACTACAGAGAACATATAAAAACTGTTAAACATTTGACAGCAAGTAATCACACAAGCAAATTTGAAAAATTTAGAAAGCGCGTTTAAAGATAAACTTATTAAGCTGATTGAACTGAGCGGCTACACTGTAACAGACTGTAACTCGATTTTATTTCTTATTGCATTGTCTTGATGCAACCATTCAGCACCTAAGCGGTTGATACTAGTTATTAGTAGCCAAATATGGGCAGTTAAAATATCAAGGATTTCATGTCTGCGACGCTCACCATTGTTGGAAACTTTGGCGATATCTTTAGTAATCTTTTAGGTGTACAAAGCATTCGAGAAACTACAAGTATCTTAATACCGTTCTGGTAGGCAAAGGTGCATTGGGGCTACCTTAAGATTCGTATATACCAATTAAATCAGAAATATTCCACATAATTTTTGAGACATTTTTTCAATGCATGTAAATATGCCGAACATATATTATTGCTTTGACAGTTGGTTTGACAGCTATCCCTTTAACCTATGCTTCTCTCAAAAACCATTTTGTTTTGTGTTATCATGTTTAAAGCTTAATTGAAGTGTTATCTCCTCTGAGGTATATCCTTGCATATGATAACATATCTTCTCTGACTTTCTCTAAATAAACAACTAAACTTCAAATATTTTTTGTACACATGCATTTGTGTTCTCATTTTTATTTTGTGGCATTTATTCACTGGGTAAAAATATGCAATTTATATTAGTTTGTATATATTGTAGTATATTTAAGTATATTTCATTATAAAATGTATTTAAAAAATATTACAAAAAAATCGTAAGCTAAAAATTTCGTTTCATATATTTCATCGGTTGTATAAAAATGAAATTATTTTATAAAGAAAGTAAATATAATAAAGTCGTTCGATAAACTACACATGCAAAATAAATATTGCGAAGATAAAAAAGTATAGAAATAATAGAAATTTTACAAAAGTTTGGATAAAAAATTGAACTAAGAGATAGTAGAGAGGAAAGTAGTTTGAAACGTAAATCTACGCTAAGAGATAGGAAGAGCGCGTTAGATAGAACGATAGAGAGAATGTAAGATGTATGTCTTGTAGCATATTTTTAGGCAGTTAAGATTTTATACATATGCAATGATAGGAAATCATAACGTGGAAGACATAAAAGCAGTGTGTGGCGAATGCATAATAATTGATTATTAAGATACTTATGTATTACATTATTAAAAGCTAGAAGTACTTAAGTCTTTGAGGTTTCTACTTCCGTTTTACTTAACTTACATACATATATTTAAAATAATTTTTTTTCGATAGTTCACTATACTTCCGATATTTGTAGGGCCCATAGGAATCTATATGCATATATTTACACACTACAGTGCAATAGATATTAGATGTACGCCTGCAGGCACTTGCAAGGCAACTAAGTATATGTGTGTAGTGGTAGTAAGTTCTCTTTAATATTATTTACAATTAATTTTAATTAGTTATTGGCTTTAGGCTGTAGGCTGTACGCTCTTACGCTAAGCGCAAGGATCGTATGTGCAATATACTGGTTGTGCACATTTTATTTTGTTGTTATATTCCCCTTTTGCTGTAAACGTCATAATAACTTATTGTTAATTAAATAGCTTTGCTCAAAAAGTGTTTGCCTTTTGTTGCGGTTTTTCAGCAACGTGGTCACTCATTTGTTTCCTTCAATCGCTACTTTTTCCCGTTTATACGTATATAAGTTAATTTATATTTTATGGGCTTTCGAGTTAATCTACAAGGACGCAATAAATGGCGTAAGATCGGGGAATTTGAAAATGTTCTGTGGGCGTGAGCGTTGCACGCGCACTGGTGCCTGCACAGATGCCTGGCGCGACTGCGCAAAGTTTCCATTGCCATTTAAGTAGATGCCACACTGGGAGTTGCACACTTCGTCGCGTAGAATGGCTTCTTTGGGCCATTGGCGAATCAGTTGGCCGCAGTCGGTGATGCGCAGTGAGGCACATTGTGGCTGTAAAATGAGAAGAAAATAAGTTTTTGCTAAAAATATCTAAAATATTTAATATTTACCCCTTCGCTGGAGCATACACAGCTGGTGCAGGGTGAGGGGAATGCAGATTCACCAACGCGCACATGTCTGTTGCCAATCTGGCAACCTTGTACATTTTCACGCCATTGACTCAAATCGATTTGGGGCATGGAGGAGCAGGGCACACGTGGATTGCTGGAAATAGATTATAATATTGTCAATATATATACATAACTAAAACAACAATTTTTCAAAATTTATATACATATACATATGTTGCTAGCAACATGCATCTAAACATTTTAACAATTTGTTTATAAGAATGATAGCAAAATGCATATAAAATGTTGAATTATAGCAACATGAATCTAAACATTTTAGTAAAATTGTATATAAAAATGTTGTTAGCAACATGAATCCAAACATTTTATTAAAATTGTATATAAAAACGTTGTTAGCAACATGAATTTAAACATTTTAGTAAAATTGTATATAACAACGTTGTAAGCAACATGTTTCTAAGCATTTGCAATTAATAACAAAGTCTAAATCCAATTTATGCTGCTGAAGAGACATTGGAAAATCTATTCGCTTCTTTCTATTTAATAGTAGTGAACCTAAGTTTAAGCTATTATCAGAACTCATATACATACCTATGTGTTGATTTCTACAAATAACTCTAAGCCATTTTGATACTCACAGGAAATTGCTAGGCAGGTCGAAAGCAGCACGTTGTATATCACCAGGAATCTCCAAGTTTTCGCAAATTATTTTAGACAATGTGACCTTGCGAATCTCAGCCAGTTGTGGCTCAGTAAAACGTACCTCGGGATTAGCGTTCTCATACCTGTGATAAATGAGGATTGCATTAGTTTAATAATGTATGCAAGCCAAAACGATCGATAAACACTCACCAGAAACGATCACATTTACGCAGCTGACGGAATTGTATGCCGATAATACAAGCCAGTGTTGGACCGACCAAACCACCTTGCAATGGACGTTCAGTCATAGCGCCAGGGAACAGATCGATATCGTCGACGGAAGCATAGATTTTCTTGGAAGCGATGATGACTTCATTGGGCATTTTCGCGACTGAGATGCGTTCCACGTGGTGTCGTGATCACGGCATACCGGTTATAACAACTATCGCGCACTCTGCAATTTGAAAGACATGCTACCCACGTGGAACGATCTCAGTCGCGAAATGCCCAATTGAAGTCACAATCGCTTCAAGAAATCTATGCTTCCGTCGACGATATCGATTGCTTCCTGCGCTATGACTGAACGTCATGCAAGGTGGTTTGGTCGTCCAAACACTGGCTTGTATTATCGGCATACAATTCCGTCAGCTGGTAAATGTGATCGTTTCTGTGGTGAGTGTTTATCGATCGTTTTGGCTTGCATAACATTATTAACTAATGCAATCCTCATTTATCACAGGTATGAGAACGTAATCCCGGGTACGTTTTACTGAGCCACAACTGGCTGAGATTCGCAGGTCACATTGTCTAAAATAATTTGCGAAAACTTGGAGATTCCTGGTGATATACAAACGTGCTGCTTTCGACCTTGCTAGCAATTTCCTTGAGTATCAAAATGGCTTAGAGTGTATTTGTAGAAATCAAACATAGTACTGTATATGAGTTTCTGGATAATAGCTTAAACTTAGGTTCACTACTATTAAATAGAAAGAAGCGAATAGATTTTCCAATGTCTCTTCAGCAGCATAATTGGATTTGACTTTGTTATTAATTGCAAATGCTTAGAAACATTTGTTGACTTACAACGTTGTTATATACAATTTTTACTAAAATGTTTAAATTCATTGTTCTAAACAAACGTTTTATATACAATTTTAATAAAATGTTTGGATTCATGTGCTAACAACAATTTTTATATACAATTTTACTAAAATGTTTTAGATTCATGTTGCTATAATTCAAACATTTTTATATGCATTTGCTATCATTCTTATAAACAGAATTGTTTAAAATGTTTAGATGCATGTTGCTAGCAACTATGTTATGTATATAAATTTTGAAAATTGTTGTTTTAGTTATGTTATATATTGACATATTATAATCTATTTCCAGCAACCACGTGTTGCCCTGCTCTCCATGCCCCAAATCGATTTGAGTCAATGGCGTGAAAATGTACCAAGGTTGCACGATTGGCAACAGACATGTGCGCGTTGGTGAAATCTGCATTCCCCTCACCCTGCACAGCTGTGTATGCTCCATGCGAAGGGTTAAATATTAAATATTTTAGATATTTAGCAAAACTTATTTCTCTCATTTTACCACCACATGTGCCTTCACTTGCGCATCACGACTGCGGCCAAACTGATTCGCCAATGGCCCAAAGAGCCATTCTACGGCGAAGTGTGCAACTCCCAGTGTGGCATCTACTTAAATGGCATTGGAAACTTTGCCGCAGTCGCGCCAGGCATCTGTGCAGGCACCAGTGCGCGTGCAACCGCTCACGCCCACAGAACATTTTCAAATTCCCCGATCTTACGCCATTATTTGCGTCCTTGTAGATTAACTCGAAGCCCTAAAATATAAATTAACTTATGTATACGTATAAACGGGAAAAAGTAGCGATTGAAGGAAACAAATGACCGTGACCACGTTTGCTGAAAAAACCGCACAAAAGGCAAACACTTTTTGAGCAAAGCTATTTAATTAAACAATAAGTTATTATGACGTTTACAGCAAAAAGGGGAATATAACAACAAAATAAAATGTGCACAACCAGTATATTGCACATACGATCCTTGCGCTTAGCGTAAGAGCGTACAGCTACAGCCAAGCCAATAACTAATTAAAATTAATGTAATATAATATTAAAGAGAACTTACTACCACTACACACATATAACTTAGTTGCCTGTGCAAGTGCCTGCAGGCGTACAGTCTAATATCTATTGCACTGTAGTGTGTAAATATATGCATATAGATTCCTATGGGCCCTAACAAATATCGGAAGTATAGTGAACTATCGAAAAAAAAATTATTTAAAATATGTATGTAAAGTTAAGTAAACGGAAGTAGAAACCTCAAGACTTAAGTACTTCTAGCTTTTAATAAATGTAATACATAAGTATCCTTAATAATCATTATTATGGCATTCGCCACAACACTGCTTTTATGTCTTCCAGTTATGATTTCCTATCATTGCATATGTAAAAATCTTACTGCCTAAAAATATGCTACGAGACATACATCTTTACATTCTCTCTATCGTTCTATCTAACGCGCTCTTCCTATCTCTTTGGCGAGATTTACGTTTCAAACTACTTTCCCTTCTACTATCCCTTAGTTCAATTTTTATCAAACTTTTGTAAAATTCTATTATTTCTATACTCTTTTATCTTTTGCAATATTTATTTTTGCATGTGTAGTTTATCGAACGACTTATTAATTTACTTTCTTTAATAAATAATTTCACTTTTTATACAACCGATGAATATATGAAACGAAATTTTAGCTTAACGATTTTTTTGTAATATTTTTTAAAATAACATTTTATAATGAAATATTACTTAAATATACTACAATATATACAAACTAATATAAATTGTCATATTTACCAGTGAATAAATGCCACCAAAATAAAAATGAAAAACACAATGCATGTGTAAAAAAAAAATATTGAAGTTTAGTTATTTATTCAGAGAAAAGTCAGAGAAGATATGTTATCATATCAAGATATACTTCAGAGGAGATTAACCACTTCAATTAAGCTTTTAAATATGATAACACAAAACGAAAATTGGTTGTGAGAGAAGCATACGTTAGAAGCTAGCTGTGCGTAAACCAAGTCTATTTGTGTACGATTATGTTCTGTAAAATTGGGGAGATTACGAGTCGGCATATTTACATGCATTGAAAAAATGTCTCAAAAAGAAGAAATGTACTTCCAAAACTCCAGTTCGGAGCGCCAAACTAACATTTATAACTAAGCCGTTAAAATCGTCTTCTTTCTGAGTTGATTATTTCTGAATTAATTGGTATCATACTTATTTAAGGTAGCCTCAAATGTCCTACCAGAACTATTAAGAGAGTTCTCGAAATGTTTGTACACCTAAAAGATTACTAAAGATATCGGCCAAATTCTTAACAGTATGTGAGTCAGCCTAGAATGAAATCCTTGATATAGAATTTTTCTGACCATATTGCTACTAATTAACTAGTATCAACCGGCTTATGGTGCTGAAATGTTGCATCAAGACATGCCAATAAGAAATAAAACGATCAGCTATCAGTGTGTAGCCGGCTCAGTTCAATCAGCTGGCTTAATAAGTTTTATCTTTTATTACGCGCTTTTTCCAAATATTATATTTCAAATTTGCTTGTTGTGATACTTGCTGTCAAATGTTTATTTTTTATGTTCTTCGTGTAGTATACATAAATTCTCCATACCCACAGACCAAAAACCAACAATCTTTTGTTAAGATTTTAAACTTTAATTGTTGAATCGTTTTCAACCCGATGGCTCTGTTTAGAGATCGCGTTTTGTAACTCGAATATATTAAGTATCTTATTTTAAAATAAGTTTACTTACTCTTAAATGTTAAACAATTAGATACAAAAGTTTTTTTTTTTTTTTTTTTTTGTAATGGCCTAAAATCACCTTTTTATTCATCACAAGACAGCCTAGTGTGTTCTTTATATATACTCTCGCAAAACCTTGTATTCGCTGCCTGTTTTTTCTACATATTTTTACATAAAATAATTCGTGTCCAAAAAAACATAGAACATTTTCAATTTTCGAACTAACAGTATTATTAAACTTTCGATATGAACTCTTCAGTTGTGGAAGTTATTTGCCTTTTCATTTCAGAAGCAATCGCGATAGGCTTCAATTTTATACCTTCAAATTCCTCTTTGGAAGCGAAGCTAAACAAAACCTTTCATATTTATTTTCATTTTTGTGAGCAATAATAAGCTGGTTTTAATCTAAAATAATAAAAAAAAAAAAGTTATTTTTCAAAAAAAAAAAAAAAAATATAATATATATCATATTATATATTATAACAGTGTTCAGTAACTGATTAAGCATTGGCAAGGAAGCACTTGTGGATAGACTAGAAAAAGCATAGTTTTACTAGTGGGCATATGCACGCACAAATTAAAGGAAACAAAACAATTTAAAGTGTAGGTTTTGCAATAAAAGTTTCATTTATTATTTGTGTTTTTTACATTAATCTCTAAAATGTTTCCTTGGTTTCTCGCTATTAGTTTGCAAACTTCTAAATAAATTATTAATCATATATTTATTTTATTTATTTTGGTAACTTCATTGCTATTCCATTGGTTTTTGCTTAACAATGCAGTAAATTGACGAAAAGGATTAAAAAATAATAAAGGGTACCACACATACATTAAAAACTACATCTTGTAGTTTAAATATTTACATACAACAGATAAGCTTTAATTTGTGTGCTTACATAATTTTAAATCTACAAAGTTGCTTTCATAATTAGCGCGAGTGTATTTACACGCTACATAACAACTACGTTATATAAGCAGAGCGGTACGCGTGCGCAGTAGAGTTAACATTATTTATTGATGCCGCATACAGGAATTGCCTTTCATTTTATGCAAAGGAAAGATTATTAATCTTGTAATATTTCGAAACAAAATTGTAATTTTTTAATTTTAATTTTGCAATTTTTTAATTTGCCGCAATTTTTTAAGGTTTTTACTTCTTCCAAAATTTTTAAATTTTTTAAACTTTAATTAAAAAAATTAATTTTTTTCTCCCGCTTTTTCTTTTTCTTCACTCATATCTTATTTTCTAAAAATTTTACTACTTTTTTACGCTTTTGAAGATTTTTTTCACTTAAACAATTTCTGTGCCATAACTTTACCGTTTTCATTTTAAATCGTTTAATGCATATATCGTTATAAAATTAATCAATTCAACTTTGTTATAGCAATCTCAAGCCGCCTCTATCTCTACCAAAAGCGCTGGTGAGACTTGGGAATGCAAGTGTGACAACTATAATGATACATAATTTTATTTTTATATTTTTGCGGCCTGTATTGAATACGTTTTGCTAACAACATTTTGACTGAAAACTCATACATATTATACCCTTAGTTACAACAATATACACATATGCATATGTATGTATTTATGTTATAATCC